TTTAAAGCCCATCTCGGACTCACATACATTGTGTAGTCTTCCTGGAGCCTAAGAGGACCTGCCGCTAAACAGCCAATAGGAAGTGTCCATATCACCCAAAGAATGATCCTCCTACTCTGCAGTTAGGAAGAAAAAGCGAACTCAGCCGGCCCCATCATGTGACCACAAGTAAGTACAACCCCAATTCCAAAAAAGTTTGGAAACTGTAAAATCTACATAAAACAGAATGCAATATTTTGCAAATTCCTATTTTAGTCACAATAGAAAACAAATGAAATGTTTAAACTGTAAAAATGTACCGTTTTAAGAAAAAATAAGATCATTTTGAAATTAATGGCAGCAACATGTCTGAAAAAAGTTGGGACAGGGCAACAAAAAACTGGCAAAGTAAGTGGTACTAACAAGAAGAGCTGGAAGAACATTTTAATTTAAATTTGTAAATTTTGTATTTGAAGTGTTACTAAACCCACAACAGTAAAATCAGTCTGTATATGCAGGAAAGCATGCTTGTTATACTCACTGTGGAGCCTAAGTGGTTAATCCTTCGCATTGTATAAAAAGGCTATCCTGTCTTCTCTGATACTCCCCAATCCATCTGCTGATAGTACAGACCTCTAGAGTCACTCTGCACATGCTCAGTTTAGTGTGTATTGCTAGTGAGTTTTTTTTTCTTTGAGAGGGTGCATGTGATTAACACAAGGCCAATGAACACTGTCCAGACAGAGGGACAGGGGTCATGCAGCCTCATAGAACAGTCAGAAGAGAATGAAAACTCCTCCTACAAGATTAACCAGTGTTCAGCTGGACACTGATAGAAGTCACAAGACTGCTATATACTGCCGATGAAAAAAGGTATTTAGCAGTTTATTTTTACTACAAGAATTGCATTTCCATGTTGTGTGTACTGTGGGAGACCAGATATAGTGAATGCAGGGTCTGGGGTTTACTAACACTTTAATTTTAATTGGCAGCAAGTCAGTAACATGGGTGTGTATAAAAAGAGCATCTTAGTGAGAGTCAGTGTCTCAGAAAGTAAACATGGGCAGAGGTTCATCAATCTGTAAAAAGCTGCGTCCAAAAATTGTTGAACAGTTTCAGAATAATGTTTTTCAACGTAAAATTCCAAAGACTTTAAATATAGACTATATTGCCAAACGCATTGGGCCGCCTACCTTTACACGCACATGATCTTTAATGGCATCCCAGTCTTAGTCCATAGGGTTCAATATTGAGTCAGCCCACCCTTTGCAGCTATAACAGCTTCAACTCTTCTGGGAAGGCTGTCCACAAGGTTTAGGAGGGTGTCTATGGGAAGGTTTGACCATTCTTCCAGAAGTGCATTTGTGAGGTCAGGCACTGATCTTGGATGAGAAGGCCTGGCTCGTAGTCTCCTCTCTAATTCATTTAAAAAGTGTTCTATTGGGTTGAGGTCAGGACTCTGTGCAGGCCAGTCAAGGTCCTAAACCCCAAACTCTCTCATCCATGTCTTTATGTACCTTGCTTTGTGCACTGGTGCGCAGTCATGTTGGAACAAGAAGTGGCAATCCCCAAACTGTTCCCACAAAGTTGGGAGCATAAATTGTCCAAAATGTCTTGGTATGCTGATGCTTTAAGAGTTCGCTTCACTGGAACTAAGGGGTCAAGCCCAACCCCTGAAAAACAACCCACACCATAATCCCCCCTCCACCAAACTTTATACTTGGCACAATACAGTCAGGCAAGTATCGTTCTCACACATCCACACCCATCCACACACATCCGTCAGGTTGCCAGATAGAGAAACGTCATTCCAGAGAACACGTCTCTGCCAGGGGTGGACTGACCATTTGAGCAATCGGGCACTGCCCGAGGGCCTGGGGTCAGTAGGGGGCCCCATGAGATGCACCTGGTACCTTTCATAGGCTTTTTTAGGTGTGGTTTGAGTGTGGGCGAGGACACAGGGGTCCCATGATCTCCTATTGCCCGGGGGCCCCATGAGTTGTCAGTCCGCCCTTGGTCTCCGCTGCTCTAGAATCCAGTGGCAGCGTGCTTCACACCACTGCATCCGATGCTTTGCATTGCAGTTGGTGATGTAAGGCTTGGATGCAGCTTCTTAGCCATGGAAACCCATTCCATGAAGCTCTCTATGTACGGTTGTTGTGCTAATCTGAAAGCCACACAACGTTTGGAGGTCTTTAGCTGTTGACTCTGCAGACATTTGGCGACTTCTGCGCTGACCCCACTGTCATTTTACGTGGCCTACAACTTTGTGGCTGAGTTGCTATTGTTCCCAGTTGCTTCCACTTTCTTATAATCCCACTAACAGTTGACCGTGGAATGTTTAGTAGCAATGAAATTTCACAGATGGACTTATTGCACAGGTGGCAACCTATCACAGTACCACGCTTGAATTCACTGAGCTCCTCAGAGCGACCCATTCTTTCACAAATGTTTGTAGAAGCAGTCTGCATGCCTAGGGGCTTGATTTTATACACCTGTGGCCACGGAGGTGATTGGAACACCTGAATCCAATGATTTGGCAATATAGTAGCGATACTTTTGGCAATATAGTGTATCATCATCTACAGTACATAATATCAACAAAAGATTCCAAGAATCTGGTCTGGCAGGCCAAGAAAGGGAAGTCTGGAGGGGGTAGTTGGGGGTGCTCTTTTCCCTTCTCCTGAACCACATCAGATCACATGGGGGGTAGAGGTGTACCACAAGCCTTCAGCAGGTGGGATTCCCCTGACAAAACACCTTATCCCCATGTTGATGAGAACAAGGGCCTCTTCCACACAACCCTGGGCCAGTGATTGTGGCAGGTTCTATTGAAAGGAACCCCCCACCCAATCATACTCATCTTTGCTGCACTACCCTGCTACTCCCTTCTTGTGCAGGATCGCTGAGAAATAGCATCTACTTCTAGGTATTGAGAATAATGCGACTTTTCTCCAAGGATGTAGTGCTGACCGGCCAATCGCCAGACTTCACCCCAGTCACATGGTGCAAACTGATGCAGAGCGACATGGAACTTACACAGGGAAAAGGCCCATGGCACTAATAAAGACATGAAACGCCAGTGAAGGTAGGTTTAAATGGGTTAGGGGTGCTCTATCAAGAGAACCTGTCTCTTTAAAAACAAGATGTTCTTGTTGACAAGTATGAGTGTGAATGTTGAATGGACACATTGAGGATCCGGAGAGGGAACTTCAATAAACATTTTGGCACTGGCGGTTTGCATTGTCTTCTTCTACTGGAGGCTCCATCCCACATTTCCCCCCCAGTGACAGCCATGTGCGGAGGAGATGGCTCTGCTACCAGAACACTACCGTTAGATTCCTCGCCAAAGCCTCACATGGCTTCATGTGGTTTCTGTTTATTTCTATAAACCATTAATTATGTTTTTCCCTTCTCCTATAAAGTTAAATTTAGCCAAGGCCTTTCCTAATATGAAACATTTTGTGGGAACACAATGAATCAGGAATTGGTAACTTATAAATTATGGCGAACAATGGATTTAAATGTGTTCGATATGTCAGGAGCACAAACGCACAGAGCCCACTGCAGGCAGGCTGGAGGGAACAAAGGGGGAAATGTCACCATTAGCAACAAGGAAACAATTTATAAAATATAATTTTTTTGTCTTTTACATTTTAGTTTGCATATCTTAAAGTAGATGTCACCTCAGTCACTAAAATCTCATATACGCTTTTTTTCATCATATTGTCATTTCAAAAGCAGTATTTTTTTTTTTTTTTTAATCTACAACTTTAATTAACCATTAGCCACCCGGCCAATGGCTGTTTGGCAGCCACAAAAACGCTTTAGCTTTCCGGGTGCACGTCATTTGGCGTGCTCCCGCACATGTGCAGTTCACACGGTTGCAGAGCCGCGCAGCGGCGCGATCTGTCACCGGCCGTGTACCTCGGACACGGCCAATGACAGATCTGAGTACCGGCCCCCGTTGCTGGTACCATGTGACCTGCTGTGACCAATCACAGCAGGTCACATGACAGTTGTATACAATGGATGGCTTCATTTATGCCATCCATTGTATACTGGTGCCTAGCTGTGAATGGTCACAGCTAATCACATGCACATGTCATGTGATTAGCTGTGACCAAATCACAGCTAAACACAAAAAAAAAAAAAAAAACCTGAATGAATCGATTTTATTCAGGTAAATGCTTGCTTATAGCAAAGTAATTCTTTGCTATAAGCAAATTGTGTAAAAAAAAAAATACTGATCACTTCCCCAAAGTAGTACAATGTTACTATGGTAACATTGCACTACTTTGGTTATAGTAAAATATGAAAAAAAAATCTTAAAAAAAATAAAAAAAATTTAATAAAAAATTAAAAATAATAAAAAAAAAAAAAAAAAAAAAAAAATATATATTTTTTTTTTTTCATACTGTCACCAGTCAGTGTCCCTGTTCACCACCATGCCAGTTATATGAAGATGCTGTACTGCACTGGTGACAGTATGTAAAAAAAAAATAGTGAAAATAATTTTTTTAATTTTTTCATTTTCCGAAAAATTATGACAAAAAAAATACAACTTCAAAAAACTCGCCATTCCTCTTATGAAGTACGTCGGACTGTCTACTTTGCAAAAAGGGGTCATTTGGGAGATATCTGTACTATTCTGACATTCTTGGACCTCAAGAAATGAGATTGGCTGTCAGTACTTCAGGATTGATCAATATTCAGATCTATCCCATAGTTTGTGAACTCTATAACTTTCCTACAAACTAAATAATACATCCTAATTTGGGTTATTTTCCCCAAAGACATGTAGCAGAATACATTTCGGCCTAAATTTATGAAGAACAATTATTTATTTGTAAACTTTTATAACAGAAACAAAGAAAAGCGTTTTTTTTTTCAAACTTTTTGGTCTTTTTTTGTTAATTTAGCAAAAAATAAAAACCCCCGGCGGTGATTAAATACCACCAAAAGAAAGCTCTAGTTGTGTGAAGAAAATGATAAAATTTTAGTTTTAGTTTAGTTTGTATGACCGCGCAATTGTCATTCAAAGTGTGAGAGCGCTGAAACGTGAAAAATGGCCTGGGCAGGAAGGTGTAAAATTGCCCGGTATTCAAATGGTTAAAATAATACCTGGTGATCCTGCCAAGAAAGTCTTTGTTCAGGCACTTTCCATCTGGGGTAACGATTGTGTTCCTGTGTTGTCTTCCGGTGCCATGCATTCCGGGTGGAGACCGCTAGCAGCCCTGCAGGATGGGCTTACATTACACAGGCAGCTCTTTCACATTAGCGGGCAAGGGGTGGTAAGAACAGGTGGTTGAGCTGCTGACTATTGATGAAGAGAGAGATCAGAAAAGAAATTGATCATTTATTGAACCATGTATGGTGACTAGGTGATCAGATTCGGTAGCGAATAATTGATCGCTTTGCATCACTCAGCAGCACTGAGATGATTTGATCATAAATACTTTAGATTGTACCCCCTTGAGGGTTAGGGACTGATGTGAATGTACAATATATATATAAAGTGCTGCGTAAATTGACGGCGCTATATAAGTACCTGAAATAAATAAATAAATTCCATCATATTTCGATCAGTCATGAGGTTGCCTGGTGGATACAGAGATATGATGGATAACGATTATTGTTAACAATTACAATGATATCTTTCATTTGTCAATAGAACTCCATTTCCCTCTGTGTGGCATATTGATTGCATGTGTTGTCAACTCTTGATTGATTATCCCTATCAAGGGAGCATGATCAGAAAAGAATTAGGTCATTTATTGAAGCATTTGTGCCCACCATTAGATTGGATTCGGTCAAATTGAGTCGTTTGGCCCAGGCGAAAAAATTATCAATAATTTTGCATCAATTGGCAGCACTGAGATAAGTCGATCATAAATTCAATCATATCAGTTATGATCAATTATGAAGTTGCTTGGTGGAAACAGAGATACAATCGATAACTTACAATAGTATCTTCCAACTATCAACTGAATTCCACTTCCCCATGTGTGGCATATCGATTGATTGTGTTGTCAACTATTGACTGATTATTCCTCTTAGGGGAGATCAATTGGATAAGAAATCAATTATTTATTGAATCATGTATGGCCACCATAAGAGGAACCGTGGAATGTCGAAATGACGGACAGTCCCTTCAAAAGGAGGTCAACTGGGAGCCATAGTGAAAGCCTACTCACTCTTTAGCATGTTTAAATTTAGTGAATTCCTAAGTGATGATCTTCCAGCTATCGATCCACTTCCCCATGGGTAGCATATTGATCGATTGTGCTGTCAACTTGATCAATTATTCCTATCGGGTGAAAGCGCCAAAGAAATTGATAATTTATTGAACTGTGTATGGCCACCATTGGACTCAGTTTAGATTGGATTAGATCAAACTGAGTTGATCGGCCAGGGCAGATAATTATTGATCATTCAGTAGCACTGAGATGACTTCGTTTTTTATTGGATTTGATCAAACTGAGGTGATTGGCCAGAGCGAAAAATTATCCATCATTTTGCATCAATTGGCAGCACTGAGATGAGTCTATCATGACTTTCATCATCTTTTGATCAATTATGAGGTTGCCTGGTGGGTGCCAGAGATACAATAAATAACTTGCAATCAAATCTTCAAACCATTGATCAAATTCCACTTCCCCTTGTGTGGTATATAAATCGATTGTGTTGCCAACTATAGATCAATCCCTATTGTAAGAGATCGATCAGAAAAAGCATTGGTCATTTATCGAACTGTGTATGGCCACCATTAAACTTGGTTTTGATTAGATTTGATCAAACTTCCAGGGCAGAATATTATTGATCATTCAGCAGCACTGACAAGAGTTATTCCTAAATCCGTATTTCGAATGATTATGAAGTTGCTTGGTGAGAACAGAGATAAGCTCAGTAACTTAAAACTGTATCTTCCAGCCAGGGGCGGACTAACCATTTGGAAACTCGGGCACTGCCCGAGGGCCCGGGGTCAGTAGGGGGCCCCATGAGATGCCCCTGGTACCTTTTTCATAGGCTTTTTTTGAGTTTGGGCAAGGACACAGGGGCCCCATGATCCCCTATTGCCCAGGGGCCCCATGAGTTGTCAGTCCACCCCTGCTTCCAGCTATCGAATTATACTTCCCCAGAAATATATTTCTAGAAATGATTTATAGAAGCTTTTATGACCACCATAAGAGGGTCATTCATGGAGCTAAAAGGGATGGAGAAATGTCCAAAAGACGGCCAGCCCCTTCCAATGGAGGTCATATGGTGGCCATAGTGGGGGCTTACTCGTTCTTCAACATTTTTAATTGCAGTATTTTCTAGAGTCACATCAACTGCAGGATTACGAGACACCTGACTGGGAGGAAGTGAGGACATCTGGGCTCGAAGATATAAACCGTCGTTAAGTCCCATCTGCATGCTGCTGATATAGTGGTACTGAGTATCTGCGGCACACTTCTGTCCTCTCAATCATCTGAACGAGATGAGCTGTCTACTTCCGTCTCCCCCCAGGTACTGGCAGCACGTGTCAGCTACAACCCAATAAAGTGTCAATCTGTCACTGCCCCCGGTCTGTTCTCACAGGTTTTCTTTGAATGACCGGTCTACTCCAATTTGCAAATTTGCATTGGTTTGGTTGTTGTACAGTTAAATCAACCCAGAGGCTTCCTTCTTCTAATGGGAGCTTTGCACCTGTGTTTCCAGCTATGGCCAACCTCATCACAAAGGTTACAATATATTTACCACTTGTAGCACCTTACTATGTACAGTGGGGATCGAAAGTTTGGGCACCCCAGCTAAAAATTTGTATTAATGTGCATAAAGAAGCCAAGGAAAGATGGAAAAATCTCCAAAAGGCATCAAATTACAGATTAGACATTCTTATAATATGTCAACAAAAGTTAGATTTTATTTCCATCATTTCCACTTTCAAAATAACAGAAAACAAAAAAAATGGCGTCTGCAAAAGTTTGGGCACCCTGCAGAATTTATAGCATGCACTGCCCCCTTTGCCAAGCTGAGACCTGCCAGTGTCATGGATTGTTCTCAATCATCGTCTGGGCAGACCAGGTGATGTCAATCTCAAAGGTTTTAAAAGCCCAGACTCATCTGACCTTGCCCCAACAATCAGCACCATGGGTTCTTCTAAGCAGTTGTCTAGAAAACTGAAACTGAAAATAGTTGACGCTCACAAAGCTGGAGAAGGCTATAAGAAGATAAAATTTTTAGCTGGGGTGCCCAAACTTTAGATCCCCACTGTATGCAACTGAACCTAAAAACAGGGCTGTCCAAACTATGGATGTATCCCTTAAGAGAAACCCTAAGGGTTCATTCACATGATCAGCTGGGGGGACGTACACTTAGATTCTAACATGCCATAGCCACCTCTTGGCTAACATCAAGCGTAGCATCTGTTAGCCAAGGGGGAGGATGCGTGGTCATCAGATTCCTTTCTCCCCTGCCTTGGAGGGGGGGGGGTCTCTCTTTGGGGAGAAAGCCTCACCTAGTACTTGTTGGTTGGCTTCAGCTTATCATGAGGAAAGGGGTCCCATCAGGCCTTTTGACTAGGTGGATCAAGGTACACCTTACCCCCGTCAGGAGCCTTGTGCCCCTGAGGGTTAGGAGGAGTCCTACTTTTTCAGGAGGTGGATCAGAGACACTTCCTAAATGCACTTTTTGTGTGTGTTCACGTGCACTTTTTTGGTTCACTTACTGGTGCTCAGTTTTGCGAGCCCACAACGGGCTACTGTTTGTTCTTTTCAGTAACCATTAGGGTGCTCTGCCGTCATTCAGTCCTTTTAGCTGGGGTGGCTGGCTGTGTAGTATCCCTGCTGGGTATGGTGGACGTCCTGAGGGATCAACCTATGAAAACAGAAACCAGTTGGCTCATTGGGTGAGGTGGGATCCAGGAATAATTCCCTGATGGAGGTTTCTGAAGGGCCCAGTGCCTCCTGATTTGAATACCTTGTCTGGTCAGGGGCTGGGAAGTTTTAGAAAAAAAGAAAGATTTTTTATTTTATTTTATTTATTTTACCTTGATTTAGGGCCCTTTTATACAAGTGACAGCCCTTCAAAGGCATTTGATAGGCCACCTGTTTTAACCCTGAAATAGCCAACCCACTGCGTGCATTGCATGTGGTTGCAGGGAGATTGCAGTGCAGCCCCATTAAGTTGAATGGGTGTTCCTCAGAGGCGGTGCCTTTCGTTGAATGTGACATGCCATTTAATTTTTGCTGCAAAGCAGAGCATTATGCCCATCGCATGTGTACAGCCCTGAGTTGTATGCTCTAGTTTAAGTGGAACATCTGATTTGGTAAAACTGCGGCTCATCTGCCTCCTTTTTTTCTGCCTTCCGGCAGCGTGTTTAACCTGGCCCTTAGTCTATAAATATTAAAGAAAATTTAGACAAAGCCACTAAATGTTTCCTTGAACTATCAAGGCATTTACATAGTTACATAGTTAGTCTGGCTGAAAAAGGACAAAGTCCATCCAGTTCAACCACAGAAAAAAAAAAAAGTTATAATCCTACACCCACAGTTCATCCAGAGGAAGGCAAAAAACCCAGCAAAGCACGATCCAATTTGCTCCTGCTGGGAAAAAAAAATTCCTTCCTGATCCCCTGAGAGGCAATCAGATATTCCTTGGATCAGCTTTACCTATAAATGTTATATCCAGTTATATTATTCTGTGTATCTAAGAAATAATCCAGGCCTTTTTTGTAGAAATCCACTGAGCTGGCCAGAACCAATTCTTCAGGGAGTCTATTCCACATTTTCACAGCTCTTACTGTGAAGAAACCTTTCCATGTTTGGAGATTAAATCTCTTTTCCTCCAGACTCAAAGACAAGTAAGGAGAAGGCCAAAGGCAGAGTATACTCTACCCTATGGTGTCAGGACTGTATTTATTATAGTTCTCGCAGGACAGGGAAGAGGGAGCAGCACCAGACATCAACCTTTATCATCTTTCATAACTTTTTTTATTATTATTTTGTTTCCCACTTCTGTCCACTTCTAGATATATGTAGTTAAATTCAGCTTAAGAACTGTTGGGGGGAAGGGATCACAGAGGGTAGTTAGGAGACTCTCTAAAGCTCAAGAAACATAAAATCATCTTTCCATTCTCTTGCTTGTTGGTCTCTGCAGATAATAAGTAGCTGACTTAAAAAAAAATTCTGCTTCTACAGGATTTTAGATTTTTTTTAGGTTAGATTTTTTTTATGCCTGTAGAAGCAACTAATGCAGGTGCTGAGATCTACCTGGACAACATGTAGAGAAGCATAGATCCCTGGAAAGGGGGGGGGGGGTTACTAGGGGGGCGCCCTTAAAAAACATTACCCCCCACTGTAGTGTCGTAGTGTCCTGTACCCCCAAAGCAGTGTCCTCTGCCTCCCTTCACATCCCCCCCCCCCCCCCCCCCCACACACACACTGTATGAGGAAAGAACAAAGAGAGGGCACACAGGCCTAGAGCATTACAATAAAAAAATGTTTAATAAGAAATAAAGTAGGTGTTGTACTCACAGACGACAATAAAGTCATAAAGAACAGCTGGGTCAACACCGCGCTGAGTAACAGTCCGCAATGGGGAGTGTAGACATCCAATAGGTTGACGCATTTCGAGGACTTGCCTCTTCCCCACTTCCGCACTGTGTAGTATCCTCTACCCTGCCCCATAGCAGTGTCTTCTGCCCCCCACAAAGTGTTATCTGCCTCCCCATTCCCAAACAGTGTCCTCTGTTCTTTTTCTCATCAAAATCCCCCCCCCCCCCCATCCACTGTAGTTTCCTCTGTTTCCCCTTCCACAGTGTCTCCTCTGCCCCCCCCCTTCCACAGTGTTTCCTGTGCCCCCCCCCCCTCCACAGAGTCTCCTGTCCTCCCCCTCTCACAGTCTCCTCTGCCCCCCGTCCCACGGTGTATCCTCTGCCCCCTCCCACAGAATCTCCTGTATCTCCCCCTCCCACAGTGTCTCCTGTGTCCCCCCTCCCACGGTGTCTCTTCTGCCCCCCCCTCCACAGAGTCTCCTGTGCCCCCCTCCCACAGTGTCTCCTGTGTCCCCCCTCCCACGGTGTCTCTCTTCTGCCCCCCTCCCACAGTGTCTCTTCTGCCCCCCCTCCACAGAGTCTCCTGTGTCCCCCCCTCCCACAGTGTCTCCTCTGCCCCCCTCCCACAGAGTCTCCTGTTCACCCCTCCCACAGTGTCTCCTGTGTCCCCCCTCCCATGGTGTCTCTTCTGCCCCCCCCCCTCCCACGGTGTCTCTTCTACCCCCCCCTCCACAGAGTCTCCTGTGTCCCCCCTCCCACGGTGTGTCTCTTCTTCCCCCCCTCCCACAGAGTCTCCTGTGTCCCCCCTCCCACGGTGTCTCTTCTGCCCCCCCTCCCACAGTGTCTCCTGTGTCCCCCCCTCCCACAGTGTCTCCTGTGCCCCCCTCCCACAGAGTCTCCTGTGTCCCCCCTCCCCACAGTGTCTCCTGTGCCCCCCTCCCACAGAGTCTCCTGTGTCCCCCCTCCCACAGTGTCTCCTGTGCCCCCCTCCCACAGAGTCTCCTGTGTCCCCCCTCCCACAGTGTTTCCTCTGCCCCTCCTCCACAGAGTCTCCTGTGCCCCCCTCCCACAGTGTCTCCTGTGCCCCCTTCCCACAAAGTCTCCTGTGCCCCCCCTCCCATGGTGTCTCTTGTGTCCCTCCTCCCACAGTGTCTCCTGTGTCCCCCCCCCCTCCCACGGGGTCTCCTGTGTCCCCCCTCCCACAGTGTCTCCTCTGAAACCCCTCCCACAGAGTCTCCTGTGTCCCCCCTCCCACAGTGTCTCCTGTGCCCCCTCCCACAAAGTCTCCTGTGTCTCTTGTGTCCCTCCTCCCACAGTGTCTCCTGTGTGTCCCCCCCCCCCTCCCACAGTGTCTCCTGTGTCCCCCCTCCCACAGTGTTCTCCTCTGAAACCCCTCCCACAGAGTCTCCTGTGCCCCCCCTCCCACAGTGTCTCCTGTGCCCCCCTTCC